GGCATCTCATAGGGAAAGCAAGAAGTCCACTTGAGACAGAAGAATAGTTTAGGGAGGGAAAAAATGGGCACAATGCTTAAATATCTTAAATATCCAAGCTCAACAAATGGGAGCAAAGAGACGAACTTCCCTGTTGATGCCTCTCGGGGTGTAGAGGAGTCTTCCTGGAGAGCTTAGTTCCTCTCAGCTAAGACAATGATTGCATAACCTCTCATTTTCAGCCAACTAATGGGCTGCATTAATAGCCTTTTTTATTAGCTTTTTATGAGAAGATGATATGGTCCTGACTCTTTAGTAATTAGTCAAATTGTCAAGTTGCCCATAAACCAAGACAAATTAAAAATGACCAGTCTCTCTCCTGAAGGAGTCAGTCATGCCTAGTGATGCTTTTTTGAGAGTGTTTGGACAGGAAGGAGGGTGGCTGTGGATATAGCAGAGGTGAGCAGATTATTCCCCAGAGCATATGTGCTTTTAATTCAACAGCTCCAGGGATGGAAGAATTATTCAGTCCTGGACTCGGTAGCAAGAGGCCAAAAGCAGAAGCCAGGAGTTATGATTTAATGGAGCTTAATTAAGTATAATTTCCATTTGAGGAAGGTTTTCTAGGTCATTAATCTGTAATCTTCCTATTGCAAGTGATTCCTCTCTGGGAGAAGGGAAGAAAGTTTCTTTCTCCATTTGAAGGAATGGAGCAAAGGGGTTTTAGGAATTTAATGCCCCAAATTCTCTTCTATGAGGGTGTCTTAGAGCCTCATGAGTTCAGGACAGTCTAGGGCTGGAACTTGGAGTTTAGTTAGAAATGATAAGCTGATTTGGGCTCAAATGTGGTTTCTAAATGAATTATATATAATTTAACAGCTAACTGACCTTAGAGATCAGTTCATCTAAGTGCTTCATTTTATAGTTAGAGAGGAAATCACACCTGCCATCCCTAGGGCAGAGCAGCAGAAAGCCACTGGAACCCCGCCTGGGCCTGCTGACTCCATTCCCTTCTCATCTAGTAACGTAGCCTTCCTCCCATGGAAGTTAACCATCCTCTTTGGCTGGGTGGTCCCACCAGGGAGGCACACTCTCCTTCGCCTTTGGTAGCCCCCTCCTTCCATCTATTCCCTCCCCTTTCTTTCTAGATCCCGCTTATCCTCCTACGCCCTTATCAGTCCCATAGAGCCAGGCTAGAGTAGGTTGCTTTGCATCTTTATCAGTGCACAAAAAGGCAAAACCCAAGAGACTCCATCTATGGCTGGGATGACTAGCCTTTCCCAATACTTGCTGACTTGCTGGCTTGTCTTGACTTCGAGAATGCTGGGCACTCACAAGGGCGAAATCCCGATCCTAGTCATGCTTGATACCTTTTCTTACTCTGCTCTCCCTCCACATCATTTATGTATCCACGTTGCTTCCATACTGGGCAGGCAAAACACTGAAGGACAGAGACTACTGCCTTCAAACTCCAGAACAAACCCAGAAGTGGTAAAGAAAACCTGTTCTAACAACAATAAAACACACATGATGTATTACAAGGAACCTTTATACTTCCAGCGAAAGCAATTCTGCAAGAAGTTCCAACTGACTATTTGTAGGAACACAAAGGAATTTATATTGAAAATAACTAGACGTGGGATATATTACTATACTAGTAATGATGCATAGTGAGGATTAAAATCAGAAAAGAATATACAGAAAGTAATACCTAATCTGAAAACATAGCTGCTTCTATTCAGCTAATATGGACCTTAGGCATGAGTTAAGAGCTATTCAGAGAGCCCTGGGGGAAACAATCACTAGCAGTGGTTTCTCCTCACCAGTGACATTTAGCTTCCACTACATTTGTGACTCTTCTCACCACACAATAAGCTTGGAGGAGGGGGAGGGAGAAAGGAAAACCTGTTCTGATAGGAACCTACGTCTTTTCAGGAAAGTGACCCCAGCTCTGTCTATTACCAAGAAGAGGCCATTGGCTACAACTCACCCTATTTACAGAGGGAGATTGGAGGCATAAAGAAGGTAAGTGACTGTCCAAGATCACCAAGCAAGTTAGGGGCACTCTTGGGAATAGTATTAGATCCCCTGATTTGTGCTCTTGTTTTAGTTCCACTACACTTCACTTAAAATATCTATATCTATATCTATATCTATATCTTTATTGATTTCAGAGAGAGGAAAGGGAGAGAGAGAGAGAGAGAAACATCAATGATGAGAGAGTCATTGATGGGCTGCCTCCTGCAGACCCCCCACTGGGGATCGAGCCCGAAACCCAGGCATGTGCCCTGACCACGAATCAAACCCCGATCACCTAGATCCTAGGTCGATGCTCAACCGCTGAGCCATGGCTGGCCGGGCCTTCACTTTTTAAAATCAAATTTCAGTGCACTACAGTAGGCAGAATTCCAAATTAACAGAATCTTCAATTGATAGAATTCTCCAGGTATTATTATTACTCATTACTAGATTTTTACAGCTATCTTCCCCAAAAGTTCAAGACACATTCTACATGGACACTGAGTCTTGTCAAGAAAGGTAAAGTAAAAGGCGAGGAAATTATGTGGAAAGAACATATGATAAGAAAACACTGATTTGTGCTTTAATTTGACGAATGTTTATAGATGGCTTGCTCTACTTCTGCACATAGTGCTGGCTGCTGAAGGAGATATAAGAAAAATGTACACCTGTATTTCTTCTCCATGGGCTTATACTTAATTAAAATACAAAGAGGGAAAGAACAGTGGACTCTTGAGTGGTCAGGAAGGGCTTCATAGGTGAGCTAAACTTGAGGTGGACCTTGAAGGATTGAACAGATTTGGATTGGCATGAAGAGAACAGGGAAAGAAAGGGGGTTCCAGGCAAAGGCATCTTTATTTCAGCCTTGGACAAAGAATGGAGGTAAAATTGAATAGGTAGGGTAGGGCTAGAGCATTGAATGCCATGAGAAAGAGGGGGTTATGAGCGGAAGACTAAGCAATGTTTAATTTAAAACTTCCAGCAAACCAAGATCAAAGGAAAAAGAGGGAAGCTTTTTAGCCCAGCCTACCCATGATCAACAAAAGATTCTGCCACACAATGGTGACCGTGACCTTGGAGCCAGAGGCTTTCTATAGAGACAACCCAGGCGCCTGGGGTGGTAAAGGACCTCGGGTCCTCTGTGCTCGTGGGCACCACAGAGGGAGGGAGGGAGGGAAGGAGGGAGGGTGCCCTAACTCTGTTGCCATTTTCCTGCATGTGTTTGAAATCTGGACTGACAAGACGAGCTGGATAATTTTGCTCAGTTACGTATTGAATTCTCTTCTCTGTGGTACAGGATCCCCTTGAAGCGTGACAGCTGCAATGACTTCCAGATGTTTGCCTCCTCTCTTCTCGCAGACTAGGGTGGATGTGGTAAACTCCGCGATGGAAACCAAAAACCCAGCCAGATGTACCATGTCAATGTCAGCAACACACACATCTGGCTTCAATACCGGCAGCGATAACCAGAACAAATGGCTGTTATTCCCGCTGTATTCAACTTGTCAGCATTCCCCGTTAAGAGGCGGTGGGGGCGGGGCGGGGACGCGCGGGGCTCGGGCGCGACGTGGC